CTTAGCATAAGTCATCAGCTTATGCAAGATCCCAGCTTTTATTTTATCTATCATCTACTTCCTTCCCAGCCACAATTTTCTGTCATTGAAGAAGGACCTGGTCCAGCATGTCCTCCATTCATGTGCTTCTAGTCAATGTCATCTTGGTCTCTCTTGGGTCTTCCTGGAAGGAGTTACACATCTTAGAATCTGATTGTCAGTGTCAACAAAAGAAAAGCTTGCAAGATTTTACTTGTGGGATTATGTTGAATCTGCAGATTAATTTGGAGACAATGTTATATCACAGTTTTGAGATTTTAATAAGAAAATAATGAGCACCTGTCTTCTGTTACAATTTCAACTTCTTGACACTACCTTGTAACTTTGGTTAGCAATTCTCTCCAGCACTTGAATTTCTAAAAATTACAACACAAAAAAGTATCTCTTAATTTTAACTTGTAAAATTCTGTTACTTTATTATACTGCACACAATGTAATTTCAAAGTTTCTTTTAGAGACAATGGTAGATTTAAATAATGTTGCAAAGAAATAAACCAGGAAGTCCCATGTGTCCCTTACCTGCTCTTCCTGTTAGTGTCATCTTGCATGACTAAGGTACAGTTTGTTGACAAGACATTAACTATGGCACACCCATGGTACAGATCCATGTGTCATATAATATGCACACTTGTGATGACTGTGGACAAAGTGTAGTCAGAGGGCAGAGCATTTTCATCACCAGAAGACATCTGATGTTGATGACCTGCAGTCACAGGCTTCCTACGCGTGTGTGTGTGTTTTAAGGTTAGTGAAGGTCATTTGCCTCCCCCATGACTAGCCAATCACTCTCACACCATCAGCCACGGAACTGTGCTTGCACCATTGCAGAAAGAGCTGAGATTATTTGTGGAAGGTCTCTGTTTCATTGGTTCTTGTCCTAGGAAACCAAAGCCCCCATAACCACTGCACGTTCTTGATTTATAGCAACATGTAGTAAAGCCCAACAGTGGGACAGTACTTCATCTGACTTTATTCTTCTTTTTCAATTCATTGTGGCTAATCTAGCACCTTTACATTTGTGTAATGTTATAAAGTTTGTCTCTACCTATTAAAATGTCCTTGTGGAGGTTTTAGTGGGAACTCCATTAAACCTACAGATCAGTTTGGGGAAAAAAAAACCCAACATTGTGTATTTCTTCCTATCTGTGATATATATTATAAGCCTCTCCATTTTTTATGGCCTTCTTTGATTTCTGGCATCAGTGTTTTATATGTTGCAGCCTACAGATATGTCATATTTAAAACTTAAGTATTACAGTTTAATTAGACCAAGAATAAATTCAATTCCATCTGCTATTCAGCTCTGGCATGTATACTGTTAGTGTATAGAATACTGTTGTTCTATGTGGGTTTTATTTTTTATTTATTTTTTATTTATTTATTTATTTATTTATTTATTTATTTATTTATTGTATTGCACAACCCAGCTGAACCTACTCATTGATTCGAGAAGCTTTTCTGTCACCTCCTTTGGATTTTCTGAGTAAAAATACTACTGTCTACAGAGAGTTTATTTCTATCTTTCCTCTTTGTATTCCATTTATATCTTTTGTAATAACATGAGTTGGGGGCTTGTTTTGTTGAATAAGTGTGGGGAAAGCAGAAAGCTTTGCTTTTTATTCAAAAGGCAAATTTCATTCTTTCTCTACTTGATGTTTGCTTTAGGGCTTTGTGAGCACGTTTTCTAAAGATGAGGCAGTTGCCCTACAGTCTTTGATGGAGCAGACATGTTCTTCTATTATAAATGAATACTTAGTTTTGTCCAATGCGTGTCCTTTATCAGGCACTCTGATCACATATATTTTTTTGTTGTGCTTTACACTAGTGTATATTTATACATCAGATGGCTTTGCATCCTTTGACTATATCACATTTGCTCATGGTGTGCTCCTCATTTTATATGTCGCTGGATTCATTTTGCTAATGTTTTCTTGAGGATTTTCCTGTGTATATTCATAAAAGATATTGATCTATGAAGGTCTTACATTTTTGGGCTGTCTTTGACAGTTATGGCATCATAACACGTGAACATTCTCTTCTGTTTTCTGCGGGAGACTGCACTTGTTTATATTTTTAAATGTTAAGAAATTATTCAGCAAAACATACATGTTTAGGAATTTCATTTTTGGTTAAGCGATTTTTAAATTTAAAAAATTCATTTTCTTCCATCTAGAACTACTAAGGCTGTCAACTGATATATCTATATAAAGGTTTAGGCATATCTTTATCATTTTAATGACCTAAAAAGATTACATAGACTTACACAAGCTATTTCCAGGCACGCATGAAATGTTCTTTGAGCATTTCCCCCCACCTCACTACCCTTTCTGAGCTTCCTACATCATTCCTTTTGTTGCCCAGTTTCCCTTCTACTTTTATGCCATCAGTACATGCGTGATTTTATCTAGCCATAAACCTGGGGCCTGCAAACAGGAGAAAAAAAAATGAGAATTTGGTCTATCTGACTTAATTTGCTTAACATGATATTCTCCAGTTGCATTCTTTCCCCCCAAAATAACATAATTTCAAGATTCTTTATGGCTGAAAATTTTTCATTAATATCTAGAATGTTCCCTTCATTCCTCTGATGCTGGGCACGGGCTGGCTCTGTAACTTAGCCACTGTGAGCAGTGTTGTAATAAACACTGAGGCACAAGTATTTTTGTGGTATGTTGACTTGAATTTTGGGGTAAGCACCTAGGTATGGCATAAGTTTGGCCATATGGTAGCTCTATTTCCAATTTTTTTTGAAGAATCTCCATACAGCTTAGCTTACTATATACATTGTTACCAGCAATGTATGCATAAAAATTCCTTTTTTGTGCACATCCTTACCAGAATTTATGGTTATTCATTTTCTTTATGGCTGTCATTCTGAGTTGGGTGATTATCTTTTTCATATGTTTATTGGCCACGGGTGTTTCATTTCAGAATTATATGCTCATCTCATAGGCCTATTTACTTGGCTGGGCTGTTTGGTGTTTGGTGAATTCTTTGTCTATTACACACATCAATCCAATGGCAGATATGTAGCAAGCAAAGACTGTTTCCATTTTGTAGGCTATCACTTCTCTTAATTGTTTCTCTTGCAGTACAAGATTTTAGTTTCATGAAATCACTGATTTCTGTTTGTTTCCTCTGCTTTTCTTCCAGCTTCCAATGGATACCTTGTATACATATTTTTAATGAATTTCATCTTTATTCACTTATGTTTTGGAGGTTATCATTGTTGCAGTATGATAAGCAGTAAGTCTCTGAGTTACAGTATGCAGACAAACTTACAACAACCTGCTGTGGGGCTGGTCCACTACTCTGATCACTGGACCAAACATTACTTTCATTTAGGTTTCTCTAGCCCCTCCCCCATTTTCTAAATGTCATTATTCTGAGTAGTTCCTGCACACACAGAAGCACTATATTAATGATATTACAGTTTTGTTTCAACCACCAAATGTGATTTTAAAAACTCATTCATCAGGGAATAAATTATAAAGTTTCCATTCTCCATTCTCTGACTTTCTGCTGGAGTCTGCAACCTTCTGCTGTCATTTGGAAATCTTCCCTCACCCAACTATTCTAAAGAAAAGTCTTTCAGGGGATGAGAGGGTTATTCTCCTCTGAATGGCTGTGGCGTTCCTCCAATGCTTCAGGAGGGCATCAAGAAATCCTCTGGTCACAAGCATCCAGGGAAAATAAAATGGATGCAAATACTTCCCAGGCCATTTTGTTGAGGCCTATGTTATCTTGACAACAAGTCAGAACAACAACAACAAAAAAATCCTGATTAAAAATTATAAACCGTTATCCTCCATAAGCAAGTGAAGGACTCTTTTTAAAAGTTCAAGTACAACTCATTATTTTAAGAATGGCATATATAATCAAATGGGGGGAGGGAGCCAAGGATTCAAAGCTCATTGAATAGTCAATATTTAAAAATATCCCAGTTAACTCAGAATAAAAACTGGCAGGAAACTCAGAGCAGATGACTGACTCCAGCTTAATTACAGTAGCACCATTAAGACCTACAAGTTAATGAGATACACTGTTTTTCATTATGCCATCAACAGAAGTTGCCAAACACTGAAGCCGTATCTTAGGAAGTAAGGCCTTGAGGGTGAGCTGGGGACTGACACCTAGCAAACTGGAGAGGATGTCAGCAAATGGGATGCTCAGGATGCAAGAGGAACGTGGAGAGGGTTCCCACTCCTATTCTCAATATACTGGGAAGAGCACTGGGCTTTCTAGAAATGGGGAAGTGCAGGGGAGGTTCTGTGTCACCTACACGGAGGTGGTCCACGCCCAGGTGGGACTCCCTATAGTTTTGGGGATCCTCCCCCTAACAGCAGACTCTTCTTCCTTAGCCTGGGAGGGTTTTGTAGCTGAAACATTTCCAGGAGGCAGATGTGGAAGTGAGGCAGGGAGCTCTGCCCTGGAGACCACAGTGATTCAAGACCTGAGGCCACCTCAGCTCTCAGCACTGCAAGAGCTCAGAACCGAGTCGTGCCCGGGTCTGGGCCACCAGGGAGCCCAGGCGGGTGGCAGCTCCTCCCCTCTGAACCAGGCAGGGAGGGTGACGGAGAACCCAGGAAGTGGGTCTTCTCAGAGGTGGGGCGTCGAGCCGGGTTCTCACCACAGAATCTTGGCTCCACCCCACGGACAGCGTAGAGGACCGGGAGCGAGGGGTCACACCCCTCCAGCCATCTAGGAGAACCTCAGCTCAGAGCTGGCAGCCTCCGTGCAATCCGCAAGGCTCTTGAGGGTCTTCTCGCCCTTCGCCACACACGTAGTTCTACTGTCTAGGGTCCAGCAGCGTGACTCGCCAAAAGGAGCTAACCCCGTCGCCAGGGCGCCACTCTAGGTTTAAGCTCCGTCTCTTCCCTCAACCCCTGCGCAGTGCCCTGACTTTCTCGGGAAGAGTTTTCCTTCCCCTACAGGCGCCGCGGACACCTCGGCTGTGACGTCACGGCAGCGCGCCGCAAACAGACTAGGACCCCGTCGCGCTCGCGTCCCTCTGGTCCTTGAGCCGGCGGGGACGGCGGAGCTATGGCCTTGAGGCTGCTGAGACTTGTTCCAGCGTCGGCTTCCGCGCGCGGCCTCGCGGCCGGAGTCCAGCGCGTGGTGAGCGGCGGGTGACTAGTCTTGCTCGGGTCTCGGCCTGTCGGCTCCGTGCCCCGACGCCCCGGGAGTGCTGGTCAGACCCTGGAGCCGCGAGCTCCCGAGGCCCCCAGCCAGCCACAGCTCCGGGTGCAGCGCCGCAGCGGGACTCGCTCTCCCGGCTGCACTTGGGGAATCCGGATGTCCGAGCCCTGGTGCCTGGGCCCGCTTGCTCATCCGTTCAGTGATTGGCGAAGCTGTTTTGTCGAGCGCCCTGTAGACGCTGGGGTGACCTGATGTGCAGCAGTAACAGACATATTTGGGGTAGATTGGGGAGGGAAGATTAGGACTTCCTGTGGTGCATGCAGAATAGTGGGTGATACTGGGTGCCGAGGAGGCCGTGGCTGGAAACAGGACACGATTTTATGACGGCATCTTAATTTCTTTGCTTTCTAATAGTTAGAACTACAGAGGTGTAAATCTGTGCTAAGTGTTTTTATTCCGAACAGAAGAATGGTGTGTGTGTGTGTGTGTGTGTGTGTGTGTGTGTGTGTGTGTGTGTGTAAGAGAGGGGGGTTATTGATGAAAGAGAGGAATGTGGGCCCGAGAGAGAAATGGGGAGTGCCGTAAGTGTGAGCTGGGTCAGCACTGTCATCTTACTCCCCATCGGGACCACACTAACCCACCAGAGCACAGAGAACATTCACTATGCACTTTTGCTTTGACCTTGACTTAAAGGCTACATCCATTTCCTTGTCCCTTCATCACTCCCTTCCTTTAATGAGGTTGTCTCATACATTTGTATTGGAGGTTCAGTCGCATTCTGTGTTCCATCCTAAGTTTTGCATGCACTGAGTTCATACCTCATGCTGTGTAGACCTGTGGTTTTGCACAGTGGACAATGACGTAGCTCTCTGCCTTCACAGTACCACACAGAATAGTTCACAGCCCTAACAAAAATCCATTGTGCTCAGTATTCATTTATTTTCCACCCCCTAAACTGACAGCCACTGCTCTTCTGATGACTTCTGTCATTTTGTCTATTCTAGACTCATATAATCAGTCACATATTATATTGCCTGTCACACTGTTTTCTGCGTTTACATTTACTTTTACAGTGGGTCTGGACAGATAGCTCAGTGGTTAAAAGTATCCTTTGCTCTTCTAACATACACACACTCTCAATAATAAATCTTATGGTGCACACCTTTAATTCCAGCATGAGATGGCAGATCTATAAAATCTAAGGCAGCCTGATCTAAACAGGAAGTTCCAAGCCATCCAGGTCATTTTGAGACTCTTGTCTCAAAATGAAAACCCAAAAATAGCAAGAAAGAAAAAGATTTGGTCATGTCTTTATGGCTTGTTTAGTCATTCCTTTTTATTGATTTGTAATGCTCCTTAGTTTGGATATGTTATCACTTAGCTATTCACCTATTGAAGACCATCTTGGAAGTTTCCTGTTTAAGGCAATGGGGGGGGGGCTGCTTCATTAACTATGCAGCCAAATTTCTCATGGGAATATGTTTCCTATCAATTGGATGATGTGGTTGCTGGGTCATTAGTGGGACAGTAGTTTTATGTCCATCTGTCTTCCAGTGACTGTCCCATTTGCACTACTCATCAGTGCAGACCATCCTGCCACACACTACCTTACTGGCCTTGGTGCTGGCAGGCATTTGTGTTTGTGGGCATCCTGTGAGCACACACAGTGCATCTCCTGGTTCTCATGGGAGCATCTTAGGCACTTACTTGTCATCCACATCATCTCTGTGAGATCAGTTTTAAAATTTGCTGCCCTTTCAGTTCCCCCCACTGGTCTCCGCTTGCTCATCTTTTTATTTGTATGTTTGGGGATAGTGGATTATTTTAGCTTCAGTTTGGTGAATAGACGGGGAGGTGGCTGATGAGGATTCCTCTTGCCTTATGGATGAGAGATATGAGAACGACCTAAGCATCGGCGCAGCAGGAGAGGGGGGTGGTGCTTTTTCTACAGAGCCTGGGAGTTTGTCTTCTGTGTGTGATTGTGGAGTTGAAGGAAGACAAAGGTCATGCTTATATTTGTTCTGCTGTTTATTGGATCATGGACAGTTCCCACTGTAAAGGGTATCATACTTAGGGGTTAGAATATGGAAACTCTACTTTGGTTTAAGTCCTCTAGCTTTTTCATGCTTAAATGTGCACTCAGTGGTGGGGTAACTAGGTAACAGGCTTAAGACAGAAGCCTAGATCAGAGAGGTGCTTTTATTCTGACAGGTTCCCCTCACCTCTGCCATTTGTCCATCCATCTGTCCATCTATTCATCCATCTACCCAGTTTTCATCAACCTAGCAAGCATCCTTATTTCAGGCCCTGTCCTGAGACCTAGGGAGGTATGCAGTCAACTCTCAGAGAGCTTGCTCTAAGAAAGAAGGGAGTCAGCTCATCAAACAAGAGGAGCCTCCTCGAATTCTACCTAGTAGTTGCCAGTGCCTGCAGTAACCAGAGTAGTGATGTGATCTTGTGTATTTCAGAGACAAATTCATACCAGTGTGCAAAGCCAGATGAAATATGGAGCTTTGGCCTTCATTCTTGGTGACAAGACAACCAAAAAGCTGAATGAATACAGCCGAGTGATAACAGTAGACGGGAATATATGCTGTGGGAAAAACAAGCTCGCAAAGGAGATCGCAGAGAAACTAGGTATGGGCATCATGCAGAATGGCCCTGACTTGACAGGCATGTGGCTGCTTATCCCACCTAGAATTTGCTTGACTGTTGACCATGTAAATTTAGGCCGAAGGTAGGTCTTTAACAGTTTTTAGTTGCTTATTTAAGTTATGCTTATAATCTCCAGTGCATGAGAGGCTGAGGCAGGAAGACTGCCATGGAATCCAGGCAAACTTGGGCTATATAGTGAGTACTAGGCTATGCAAAGCTTCATACGAAGGTTCTATCTCAAAAAGACTAAATGGGGTGGGGGTAATCATTGAAATTAGTAAATTTAAAAATCCATGGAGTTAGCAGTTGGAAATGGACTTTGCTGGGAGTGCAGCAGAGCACCTGCCTGAGCTGCGTTGCCAGAGGAGCTGTCACTGTTTGCTTTCACGTGGGATGATGGGGAGATAGGCTGACCTGCTCCAGTTCTCGGTGCTGCTTACCTGCTTTTTGGTAGCGTTGGGCGGCAGCAGTGGGGTGAGGGTTGGAAGGACTGCCATGTGCTCTCGGTTGCAGGAAATGGTGATGCGTGCTCTTTAGCCGTTGTCCACGGCACCTCGTGTGCTTCTTGAGCACATGAAAAAGTGTGAGCATGACGGTGACGTCCCATGGGTTCTGATGGCCAGTCCTGGCAATAGCGTTCACATTTCCTTTATGTTTTTGTTGAACCACATACTTACAGTCGTAGAGTGGTCAGCCTATGCTTCATCTGGGTGTTCTCTCCTTAGGCATGAAGCACTTTCCAGAAGCAGGCATACAGTACTCCAGCAGCACCACGGGTGATGGGAGGCCCCTCCACACGGAATTTAGTGGCAGCTGTAGCCTAGAGAGATTTTATGATAATCCCAAAAGCAATGATGGCAACAGCTACCGCCTGCAGTCCTGGCTGTATGCCAGCCGCCTCCTCCAGTACTCGGACGCCCTGGAACACCTGTTGAGCACAGGTACTGCTGTGTCCTTGGTCGGGGTGGTGGGCATTCTCTTTCTTGATCCCGTTCTGAGTAGAGGGTTTCTGAAAAGGTAAGTAAGATCATAATTCCTTGAAATCCTTGCTGATTCCAGCTCACAACAGCACAGCCTTATCATTGCTGCCCACAGGAGGGAGATCTGCAGCTTGTAGAAGTTATGTCACTGCTGTAAGCATAAACATGATGGAGGACAGAGCATGCAGGTGACTGAGAGGATGTGAAGTCACACCCATCAGGATGAACTGTGTGTCCAATGCAGACATGAATGACAACCAGTGGGTTTTCTGGAGGGACAGTGGCCAGGCTGGAAGTTGCCACAGAATAAAAATTAAACCTTGAGAAGATGACAGGGGTTGGGGGGGGGGAGCATGCAGGGTCTCAGGGGCCCCTGCAGTTAGGAAGAGTGTGTCCTTAGATGCTACCCAAGCTGAGAATATTTGGGCAAGCAAAGTTTAGAGTGGGAAGCTGGCAGCAAGGACCTGAGGGGAGAGCAGGTGACAGAACAGGGGTATATGTAAGTGAGGCCAGGGTACAGCCCCTTCCCTAGTGAAGGGATATTCTTTAACCCAGAATATCCTGGAAACATACTGTGCATGCGCCAGGCACTGTAGTCACAGTGGCACATTGTATGTGTGGGGGCTGGGGTGGGGAAAGGGTGTGGCCAGTATTTAAGGCTGTGTCTACTCCTTACAGCAGTGGCTGCCCTGTGGTTGACGAATGGACTGTGTGGGAGAGGGGTGACTGGTGTTTAAGGCTGTGTCTACTGTGTATGGCAGTGGCTGCCCATGCTTGATAGGCGATTGTGTGGGAACGACTGGGTGGTCCTTATTTAAGGCCATGTCTGCTTCCCGTGGCAGAGGCTTCTCTGGGGTTGATGCTGGGATTAGAAACAAGTTCAGCTGGCCCTGGGAAGTTGGATCATTGATTCTGATTCTGAGCTGTGAGAACAAGCATGTATTTTCAGCAAGGCCTTAAGATAGCTAATAGAGCTGCTTCACAAATTTACATTCGGGGCCCACTGCCTTCCTGAACACATAGTGCGTTTCCACGGCCCCTGGGTCATGCTGAAGTTGTCACAGAGGTGTCTGGTTTTTATTCCCCAATTTTATTAGTGATTATTTCCCTTCTGGGAATGGAAGTTCTGGTCTTGATTAGTATTACTCCTAGGAACTTAAGTGGTCTGGAGTCTTCTTCATGGGTTCTCTACAAGGACCTACCTCAGGGAAATCCAAGCATTCATTTTCTTTTAGAAGCACATTCTAGCCTATTTTCTAACTACTTGTTTCTTAAATTAAAAAGAAACATTTTATTTACATGTTTAGTAAATAGTGATTTGTTTCCTTTATGCTGTGTTTAGTTACTAAATAGTTTGTGAATAAGTATCTGCTGTGTGCTAGGCTTGTTCCGAAGCCAGGGATACAGCAGGAAGGAGGGCTTACATTGTAATAGGAGCATAGAGCCTAGGTGCAGGACAGGAGTGAATTGGTGGTGAGTGCTCTGGGGAAGCTGGTCCTAGGTGAAGTTGCATAACAAGCAGCTTCTCAAACACCCTGAACAAGGCATTTTCTCTCTGTGGTGAATGGAGTCAGGGCCCATTCTTCCAGAAGGGAAGGTTCTGCCTAGCCCCAGCAAGATGGACGGCAGGGACTTTCGTCTTGAGTATCTTGAGTGACTGTATCACAGTGAGTGAAGCTGGCAGTGATGACAGTAAAGGTGAGGGTGGCCAGCTTGGAGTATTGGACCTGGAAGTCTTTACACTGAAGGAGAGAGGAGGCCATTAGGAGATTTGAGCACAACTTTATCAAGCCCAGTTTGCAAGTGTCCTGCTGCTGGGAAAGAAGAGTTAAGATATCTTTGGGAGAGGCTGTCTTCTGTGAGCTTCCTGTTCACCTTCTCAGTGCATGTAACGGGAGCCATCACCTTTGGCTGCCTCAGCACCATTGCCTCAAAAGACTGGAATGTCCCTGAGTGGCTGCCCATCTCTCAGATCATGCTAAAAGATGTAAAAGACACTGGACCTAGGGAAAGACATGATCTGAGATTACATGTGTAGTCTAGAAAGTGTGTTTGATTGGAGTGTTAAGCAGGTCAACAAAAAGTAATGCTCTGAACCAGGCTGCTGTTTGGAACATGATTGCTCTGAGGCTGTAGCTGAAGCTACTGTTGAAAGAGAACAAAATAGCTCTCTTTAATGATGGAGATGATCTCAGGAGAAACAGGAATGCTACTTTGACCCTATAATACAGCTTTGTATCAAATGCTAGAATTCCACGTCTTGTGACAAGATCAGAACATGAATTTGTCCCATTTCCAGACACATGAGATAACAAAGAGTTATTAAATTACCCTGAACTTGGAACATTTTTATATTTAATTCTTTATAATTAGAAAAAAATTGTATATATGTATGTATGTGCGTGTGTGTGTATATATATATATGTATATATATATATACAGGTACATACATACATACATACATATTTGAGAGAATTTGAGGATGGTTGTGATGAGTAAGACATGAAGTGCATGGAGTGTAGGAGGAGTTGACCTGAGATGGGAGAGGTCACAGTAAGGCTGAAGTAGCTGGTTTAGAACCCACATGCCTCTTCTGTCACAGGTGACGGAAGAGACAGTGTTGCCCAAACCAAAAAAGCACTGTGGTGTTAAAGGTGTTTTCCACTTATAAATAATGTAGTCTTTGAATGTATTTGGTAAGAACTGGAACTGTAAGTGACTGGGTTTTTCTTTTCCATTTTTAAAATGAAATTTCTACTTAGCAGCAGTTTCTGTCCATTTGGTTTACTTTTATTCTTTACCTGTTTCAACAGGACAAGGTGTGGTCTTGGAGCGCTCCATCTACAGTGACTTTGTCTTCCTGGAGGCAATGTACAACCAGGGCTACATCCGAAAGGAGTGTGAGTTGTATAGTGTGCCCTGGTGTAGCGCCCCCTGGTGTGCTTGTGCCTCTGCTGATGGGGCACCTCCATGGAGGCTGAGGGAGGGGATTTTGTTTATTATGTACCATATTCCCCAGGGGAGAGGGAACTCAGGAAGCTCCCATTGTCCTGTTCATCCCAAATAGTATCTTTTGTCCCTTCACTTACCCTAGAAGCAGAGTGGCATCCTTGGTGCTCAGGAAAACTCTGGTATGCCACAGCTCCCCTAGACACCCTTGACCCTCAGGTCAGCCCTACAGCTTCACTAGTTTTCCCCGACCTGTACAGCTAGCTAAACTCTCTAGTTCTAGTGTGTAAGTTTTATGAAATTGGGCCATTTTATTTTCCCCTCTGTGTGTCCCTATATAGTTGCCCCTCCAGCAAATTGGTGAGCCTATTTTGGAAGCATTGGCATTGGTTGGTCATTGACAGATGACGAAGGTTAAAGGCTGGTTAAAGTAGCTGGCCGGGAACCCCGGGGAGGTTGGTGTATCTGTAAGGAGTTTGGGCCGTGCTGTGCTTGACTGGGTCACTTTCAGTGTCAGGTTCTTGCCTGTGTTCTTGATGGCTGCTCCAGTGGGTCGTGAAGTCTGACCGTCAGTCTGCGAGTAGTCAGTCAGGGAAACTGAGGCAAGCAAAGGGATGGTTGTAATGTGAGACCGTGGCTCTGGCTCTGCTGTATCCTGGTGGCTAGAGGCCGTCCATCTGTGTGTGGAACAGGAAGAGTGAGCAAGGCCTGCCCTGTACATGCCAAGCAGCAGTTGAGGTTGACCAACAGGTATTTCCGGGGACCACTGTGTGCACAGCTCTGCCTGGATGCTCAGAGATACCAGGCAAGGCATTTGGTACCCTCGGGGCAAGGACATTCAGCCAGCAGAAGGGATGAGTGGCAGCACAGAGTCCCTGAGCACCCTCAGCTTTGGTCCAGCGTGCTGTGGGAAGAGCACGCCCGGGACCTGACTGATGTGTGCCAGGGATGGGAGTCATTGCCAGGGACAGCCCCTGTGGTGATTGGCCTTCCGGGAGGGAGAGAGGACAGGTACCTTGTCAGCAGCAGGGTAGGGGTAAGGTGGGGACTGTCCTGTGGTGTTGGAGTGGCAGTACATGACAGGGAATGCATGCACAAGGACTGGCCTTTTAGGGTAGGGCGCTTGGATATCTTCTGGAACCCTGAGGGAGTACTGAGCATTTTAAGTGTGAGAAGGAAGATGTAGTTAGATGGTCACAGAAGACCAGTTCTAGAATGAAGAGGAGTCTGTAGGCTGCAAGGTGCATTTCTGTTTGGGTATCTTGGGTGGGGGATTCTCTGAAATGGGCTCAGGATATACCTAAAGGCAGAACCATGCTGCTGAGGCCTGAGGAATAGAGGCCAGCGGGCCTGTTTTGACTTGGTAGTGCTCATGCGTGACAGCAGAGTGGTGGCCAGGTCTGGGATGCAGGGACTGAGGAGGTAGGAACCCAAGGATAAAGCTCCATGGCTATGTGTGCATAGACATAGCTGAGGGGTGTGTGGGGCTTGGCCATGCCACATGGGCTGTAGCAGGTGACCATTGGATTTTACATGTATAAGGGTGGTGACTATCGCCAGTCAGATTAGTACCAGGATAGGGAGAAGCGATTGACTAAAGTCAGTGGCATCCAGTGAGGGAAAGGAGGCCTAAGGAATGGGATGTCGAAACAAATAAACAGGCAAATGCAGATGGAACAGAGGAAGCAAGGTAGTATATTACCTTAGCAGAGGGCAAGGCTGGTACATTGCAAGCCTAGCGAACAGGGCAAGGCCTGGTCGTCTCTTTAGGCTTATGTGGGTGTGGTCAGGGCAGTCTGTGCAAGTGCCCTTCAGCCATAGACATGCCGCCTCCATCACACATTTTCTGTTCCTGTATGGTCCTCCTCGGTCTTGGTCACAGACCAGTCCAAAGAAAGCCTTTGACACAATGACCCGGAGGGTCTCTGGGATGTTCTATGAAGTGATGTAAGCGTCTCTCTGTGGGCCTTAGTGTGAGCACCCACTTGTCTTTCGGGAAGATGTTACCATACAAACAGTGCTTTCTCAGCACTGCACAGAGGTGCCCTGTTGGGTGCTGGTGTGGATAGAATGTGTGTAGCTGCTGGGTTGTAGTTCTTTTGAATAACAAGCCCTTCATTCACCAGGACTGTTTGACGTCTGTGTGTCCTGTGCCAAGGGTGAGGTGACTGCTCCAGTTTCAGGGCTCCCAGCTTACTTTGGTGTGCATGTGTGGGTAGTTAGGCATAGTACGGTCACTCAGAAATATTCTGAACCCAGGGAAGTGTAGCTTATGTTTTCAGTTGAATTATTTGAGAAATACCTTTTGAACTCCCTGTAGAGCAGACTCTTACTGTGTTCCATAAAGACACAGATAAATACACAACAGGTGTACCATGCATCCCAGCTCAAGAAACGTAAGGAGAATACTTGGTTTGCTTCCAGCTTGCCCAGGAAGTGAGGTAGACATACTCGGTCTGTCCTGGGTACAGCGGTTAGGGTCATGGTTTAGATCCCCATGTGCCAGAAGCCTGTAGCTGTCTAGGGTTGATGACCACGGGCTCTCTCCTGTAGGTGTGGACCACTACAATGAAGTGAAGAGGCTCACTCTCCCAGAGTACCTGCCACCCCATGTAGTCATCTACATCGATGTGCCTGTGCCAGAGATAAAGAGCCGGATCCAGAAGAAAGGAGACGTAAGTCAGCACCCACGACAGCCAGGGCCTGCATGTTTCTGTGTCTACATGTGCCAGTTCCCAGTAGCTTTATCAGGGCAGAAGACACAGGCAGGAGGTCCCAGCCAAGAGCACACATCTGTCTCCCGAGCCATTTGTGGGGAGGCAGAGAGATATCTCCTCTGTCCTGCTTGGACCTTTCTCTCCTGAAAGGGGTCTCTTGTCCTGTTGTCCTAGAGATGAAAGTGATTTGGATGTCCTTTCAGTCATCATAGAAATTCAGAGGGTGTTTTGTGTTGAGTGTTTCTGTTACAAGCAAGGTAGTATATTACCTTAGCAGAGGGCAAGGCTGGTACATTCCAAGTCTAAAAAGCAGGGCAAGGGTTGGCTTTCTCCTTGGGCTTATGTGGGTGTGGAAGAATGCACACCTACATGTGATCTTGTTTCACTTTGGCCACGACTAGTGATTCCCTGTTGCCTCTACAGTGCTGTTGTGGCCTCTCCCCTGTTAGTACTGAGTGCTTATGTCTGTCAGACAGAAGTGCCCGTGGTTCCTAGATGGCACTCACTGTGCTGCAGGAAAGTTCCCAGGGGGCGTGAGTTCTCCAGGGAAGTCAGTCCCTTTGACCTCTGTAGGCAGAGTGCAGTTGACTGTCACATTTTCCTGTGCCTGGTCTACGGGCCGGGGCTGCGGGCACTCAGGAAGTGAGTGACACTTGTCTTTTTCTGAACAGCTAAGTGAGATGAGATTTATAATTGATTACATGCACCAGTTGAAATTTACAACTGGTACATTTAGCAAATTAAGCAAATTATGGCAACTTCTGTCACAGGCCAGTTTTAGAGTTTTTCTTTATTTCTGTAAGTCAAAAGAGTAGGCCCAGTCCTTTTTATCCTCCTCTTCCCTCCTACAAGTGTTTCTTGAGTACCTCTGTACCAGACTGCAGGGTGCTGGAACTGTGTGCTGATTGGATAGGTGAGTTCCCCACTCCAGCAGCTCACGCTGTAGCTGAGGAGCTCTGTGGTGAGCAAGGAAGTAAGCAAAAGCCACAGAAGGTGCATCAGGGAGAAAGAACGAGTCTTAGCTTTGGCTAAACTGTCCACTCTTAATTGAATTTTAAAATTATCCTCGGATGACAAGAGAAGGGAAAGAATGTGTGGAGGTGGGGAGGGAGGGGGAGAGCAGGGGGTGGGGAGGGGTCTGCAGTGGGAGACGGTGGAGTAGCTGGGAGAGAGACTGGGCCTCCCAGTCTCTGCTCCCTCATTGCCTGCGCTTGATGTGAGGTACAGCAGAAAGACAGGCGGGGCTTTACAGAGGGACCTCTTTCCTGGCCCTGCCCTGAGTGGAGGAGGGTCATGACACGGGTTGCTCTGGAGTCGGGAATAGTTCTCACCGGTACCCCCTTCCTGTCCCCTGAGATCCTTGCAGCTTGTCAGCCCTTAGGGAAGAAACAGTGCCTTCTGTTGTGGCCATGCTTTCCGCACACAGGGTCTGAAGGCTCCTGCCCTGTTCTCCTTGCTTTTGTTTAGCCACATGAAATGAAGATCACCACTGCCTATCTCCAGGACATCGAGAACGCCTACAAGAACACCTTCCTCCCAGAGATGAGGTGAGCCCAGCACAGTGCTGACATGTAAGACTGCAGCTGGCGTACGCAGACTGGAAGCACCCCATAGCCCAGAGTATTTTCTCTCCCATTCACAGGCTCAGGCTGCAGAGCCGACAGGAGACTTTTCAGTTCAGGTTATGTGAATTTGGGTGTTTTTAAAAATGTTCCCCTCTCTCTCCTGTTATATCCTTAAAATTCTCGATGCTAAAAATAAATTCATGCTCAAGTCCATGTCAAATTTTAGCACTAGACTTATTCAAATAGCAATTAGATGTCTAGAAAAATTGCTCAACATACCTGTGAAGGAAATCCATGAATACACAGTCCCTTAGATCCTTTCAGTTGTCACCCTTAGCAGTATTAGGGTTAGCATCACCATGTCTGTCTTCTTCCATTCCTGTTCCTGTGTTGAATCATGGGAAACTGTGTTATTCCCCATTCCTCAGGGTTCTAGGTGTATTTGTATGTAAAGGAAAAGTCTCAGGGCATTGTTTAAATTCTCAAAGATATTAAAATTATGAATAAAATAAAAATGAAGTGATTTTTTGCCTCTTGTACAGTCATACTGTGGTGGTGTGAACACAGAACACTCAGGACACAGACTATGGGATGCTTGCATTAGAACAGGGGCTCTCGTGGCTGCCGCACATATGTCCAGACATTCTGTGTGGAAATGCTGACCATGTGCCTCTCTCTCATTCTGTCTTACAGTGAGCAGTGTGAGGTTTTGGTGTACAGTACCTGGGAATCTGAAGACTCAACCAAGGTGGGGAATGCTAGTCAATGGCAGATATTCTTAAACCTGAGTGTGATTTCCTACTAGTTATAGGAGCATTGACGCATCATAATTAGACAGCAGGATCCGTCCTGCTCATCACCTTCCCTGAGCCATCAAGTTGTTGGTTATTTTTTTTAATAGCTTTTTTCATATCGTTTTAAAATCATAGATGGCAAAGATGCAAAATGCCTCGGGACATGTGTGTATCACGGAGTATGATAGCTGTACCTTGCATTAGTTCAGAGGAAAAATTTTTTTAAAGAGAACTATTTTCCTTGAGTCTGCATTTTGTGAAATTCCAGTTAATTTTAATGGTGTTTTCAGGAAACCTAGTGAGTATCAGCCAAGTAATTCTGAAAGGAATAATTCAGGACATCTTCTCTCCCAAGTACAAAAGCATATGCACAGTATCTTAGAACAGTGAGCCTGGGTGTGTTGTTCAAGAGCTCTGAGCGTGAGAAGATTGCCTGTGAAAGGAAAGGGCAGGACTAGAGAGAGGCCTGAGCTCTCCTCCTGGAGCCCGCGTTGGCGTGTAGGTTCCTGTTTCTCTGCGTGGCTCTTTTCTTCTGAAGGAAGTGTTGGGAAGACAAGGGTAGTGTTCTTGCTGTTGGCTTTTCTGTCTAGTCTGTCTTTTCCTCTAGTCTTCAGAGCAGCTCTTGGTATTTGGGGTGTTGGGAGGCAGGACCATGCTGAGCAGCATTCAGGTCCCACCATTTTGTTCATGACTTGTATGCCAAGATTTTGTGACTTCCACTGTTGCCCCGTTCACAATTTTAAAGTGGGGTCTCTGTTTCTGTTGTTTTAGGTGGTAGAGGACATTGAATACCTTAACTACAACAAAGGGCCTTGGCTTCAACAGGATGACCGAACCTTTCACCACCTGCGGATGCTGTGAGTCACTGGGGGAGCTGTTGGGACAGGACAAACTACTCCTTGGACACCGCAGGGGTCTGCTGCATGCTGTAGAAGTAGACAGTTTTTAAGTAATTAATGCTTCAATTCAGTTGTCAACTGCTCCAGCCAGTACTGAGGTGCTCACCCTTTCCCCTTCCAGATAGCTCTTGGGTGCTCCAGTGGGCTCAGGACGAAGTTATTTGTGGTTACTAATTCCACCATTACTTTGCTTCTGCCCTGTGCCAGGCTTGGTTCTAGATTGAAAGACTAGGATCAAATAAAATTTCTGCTCTCAGCAAAGACACCGTTTAGTGGGAGATGCAGAGCAAACCAGGGCATGGAACTGTTGAGTCATAAAGGTCACTCCTAGTCCTGGAGTGTGAGTGGCCAGCATGTGTAGGCCTTTGCATGAAGAGGCCTGAAGAAAGGAGGATTCAGCCTTATATGTCTGAAACTTAGCAGGCGTCAGGGGCAACAGATAGAGAGGCTGAGGCAGGGACAAGCTGAGGATGGTGTAGTGACACAGTTAAACCAGCGTGAGCAAACGGAGGGGCCATGGCAGAGGCAGACCGCAGATGTGGGCAGGGAGGCCACCTGCCTGAGTGAGTACAGTCTTCCACTACACCCTTCCCGTTAGACATGTGCACTAGGCTTCCCATTCCATCCTCTTCAGAGCCACAGTGCCCTGACTTCTGGGACCCTGCTCCCCCGGACACTTGAGGAGTGATCTCTGTGTTGAGCGTGTCCCTTGACCTTGTGGATGTCCAGTCAGTCCTGATTACTGCCCAGCCTGTGCTACTGGCCATCAGCTGAACCCCAGTGCTTGGAAGCTGACTTGCCACCCCAGGTCCTGCACAGCCTTCATACGAATGTACATACAGGAGAGATTCCTGGAGGAGGTGCTTTTCATTGTTTTGTAGTTATTCCTACAAATTCAGAAATCACTTTGTAAAGAAAACACTGTTAATAGCCTTGCCCTCTGGCTCTTTCTGGGCTGCCTACACCAGAATGCCTCAGTGCTCAGATCTCTCTTCTCAGTATTCAGAAGTAACTGACTGTGACTGTGGCAGAGCCCCTGCCTAGTGTTATGATGGTGTTCCTCCTCAGTGGTGCCAGTGTGCTTGGTCCTTGGGAGTAAGGATGGATCAACTGTGCTTTCTGCACCTGCTGGGTTAAGTGGAGCTGTGGTCTCCTGTGTTGAGGGCACAGCCAGCTCACTAACATACGGTTAACAGGCCATTGCCCATGGTTGATAAGCTCAGTGGTGGAGCACTTGCTGTGATGCTGTAGCTTCAGTCTCCAGCATGGTTGTGGGATGCCTGAAGTGGACGTGCTGCAGCCTTTTTACCCTTCCATCACCAGAGCAGCAGTCGTAGCAAAAACAGATTCACGTGGAAGGAGGAGTCAGTGTGCTGAGTATTAATTCACAGTGCGGTGTTTAAGTGGGATTTCAGTTTCTAATCAAACTGAAGTATTGGGTACAAATTACTTCTGGTTGGTTGGAATGGATGTTGAAAGCTGATAGGTAGACACAGCATAGTGTCTCTTTATCAGGCTGCAGGGGGTGCGTAGCGTTTGGTCTAGCTAGAATGTGGGGCAGGTCACTTGATCCCTTGTGCCTTGCTTTCTTCATCTGTAAAATGTTAGCACTGAAGCAGAAACATGAGGCTGAACTTGCTGACTAGAGAAGAAAAATAAGTGTAAGTATAGAGTTCACATACGTTCCATTCCGTAGACTCACTGACCCTCTATGCAGCTGTCTTATGCCAGTGAAAGAAACCCGCTGATAGAACCGAGTCTCTGAAAAAGTCTCTTAAGGCATCTAGGTATCCTCCATCGAAACACACGACAAAGCCTCCTTCTGAATCTTCCTGTCGAGGGGAGTGAGTCTTCAGCCAGCTCTTCCTGTGGCCCTGCAAGAATGGTCTGCAGCCTGGTACAGTACCTGTTCAGGATGCATGCCACAGTCCAGCAGAGACTGCAAGCTTGCTGACAGACACAGTGAGAAACACAATAGGGAGCTCTGGTCCCTCAGAAGTGGAGCTCTCTGCGGTGTTGATGTTCGATGGGAAGCTCCCTGAGGCTGTTTTTGTTGTAGCAATTTGTGCCTTGCTGTGAATGTGGCAGGGTGTCTGGAAGGTACTCCCAGCAGTCTCAACTGCAGGAGGTACAAAACGAAAAATGGAAAGAAGCAGATGTCATAAGCAGAAATGTAGTTTAAAAGTCTCCAGGAGAAAAGACTTTTCTTCATTAAAGATTACCCTGTCATGTGTCACAGCAACACAACATGGAGGACACATATGGTAGAATAATAGGCTGTAAGCTCATGGTGGTCAGGAAACAGATAGGGCTGGGTCCTGAAGAGCACACAGCCATAGGCTGGTGATTACACCTGTGAACATATAGACCTTTGGAAGAAGATACTAAGAATTTAGCTGTCGCTGGATGGTGTGGGCACACAGCTTTAGTGCCAGCACTCCGGAGGCAGAGACAGGTGAATCTCTGTGAGTTCGAGGCCAGTGTGGTCTAAAAAATGGAGTTCCAGAATAACTAGATTTGTTACCCAGAGAAACAGTGTCTCAAAACAATCAAAAGAATCCAGCTGTTATGCTTGGGTCCTCATTATAGTGGAGAAAAAAACAGAACTTGCCTCAGAATTGCTGTAATTTATAAGGAGTGTGAAATGCATAGAGCTGGGCCACCCAGGTGCTGAGTTTTGCTAGTTTATACATTGTATCTCGTAGATTATAGTTATCCTGTGTTCCTTCTGTTAATATTGCTCTTCAGTACTTTGCTTGTTTCCTGCTTCCTTTTTATGTTTTATTTGCTTTTCCCCATAAACAGGGCTTCTCCCCCTCCCTAGAGTGTAACAGGCTCTCTTGGTGACAGGGACACTCTATTCTTTTTCTTTGATTCAGCATCCCAGGGACCTCAGCATCTGCTCCACTGTAGGAATTTCTGATTTCCCATCTCAGCTGTGAGCTCTTCAAGCTCTTTAAGCACTCATCTGTTTATGCTGTGTACTTCCTTGATGCTTGGGAAATGTTTGTGGCATGAGTGGTTTGTGATCAGCTGAGCTTCAGGGGAACTATTCCATCAGCTCCCTAGTGTTTCCTGCCCTCTCCTCGTGGTCGTCTTCATGTCCTCCCTCCCACACTGTAGGCGCTAAGAGTGGTGCCTGGTGTTGGTTTTCCTCTGATCTCACATCTAATTGGATCTACGCTTAGTGCCCCTTGTGCATTTTCTTCATCTCTCCTACTCACAAGCATGGATTAAGTGGTGATCCTGCCATGTGCCACACTGTTTACACATCCTTAAGCTATGCTTAGAAGTACAGGAGAAAATTACTATTTCAAAAGTAATATACTTGAGTTACGACTGTTTTTAGTAGAATAGTACATTTTTAAGGAAGAGCCAGCTGTCAGGCTCTTGGGAAGTTCATGACGCCAATGGTGAAGAAAGATGAGGCAATAGGCTCACCCTAGCAGCACGGGGCAGCACTAGTTAAGCTGTTCAAGGCTAAGCGTACAAAAAGCAAGGTGAAGTAACTGGAGGGCAAAGGCATACCTGCTTGTCTTGGGAAGTTAGAAACAACGATCAAAACCCCAGTCACCTGCCATCCTGCTGTCACAGGACCCATACTGATAGTTTAGTGGGGTTCCAGTCAGTGCAGTGTGTCTTACAGTTTATATCCTATTTTAATATCACAGACATGTCCCTGTTTACGAAACACAAGTTTTTTATTTTTAGTGACTATGTCAGTTAATAAATGAATCAAGTTGGCACATTGTGGTCTGTGTGCCAGATCACCCCAGAGCTGCTCCCTGTCCTTACATTTGCATATTAGGTGCCAGAAACTAGAGCCCCTCCCATTTGTGCATGAGAAATATCTCAGTGAAAGCCACTCATAGCACAGTCACTTCGTAATTCTAAAGCCTCATTCATACTATCTGGTCCTCAGTCGGAAAAGTTTATTAACTGGGATAAAGCAGAACTCATTGACTACTTGCTGATACTGCTCTTTCTGATTATTTTTATTTCTTCATATTCACAACACAATAACTCACATATTGTGCACACTTCTTTGGTTCCATGTTACTTTCATAAGAATTGTTGCTGGATCGGGCTGTACAAATAAATACATTTTACAGCTTTTTTGGTTTTTTTTTTAGAAACTGTTGCCAGGGAGTATTTTATCTGTTAAGAAGTACAGTTAGGATTGGGAGATGACCTAGTTAGTAAGGGAGCAGAGGCACCCCCATAACAAGGTGGGTGTGGTTGTGCATGCTTGTTTGGAGATAGGGGGACCCCTGGGGCTTGCTGACTAGCCAGTCCAATCAAATCCATTCCATAAGAGACCCCCATCCCAAAAATTAAGATTGCGAGTGAGAGTCTTCCTGGCCTCTGCACACATAGCCACCACACTCATTCACATGTGCATTTGCACACACACAGGAACATGAATATGTGCACGTGTATACATGACGATACAGTACAATTAAATTGAAATCAAGACCTGCCATTTGTTCCCAAAAGAAAGAAAAGAATTGCCTTGCTGTGCAATTTCTAAATCTTAGCTTCTATTCCTCTTGGTTGCTTATGTGCCTTTGTGAGTCTTCCTTTTCCTGCTGGTGACTTTTTCAAGAGGCAGGCGTTGTCTGTTCATTTGCTGCTTTGTTTTCAGCTGGTGGTTTTTGCTTGTTTCATTCTTCTTCCTACTTCCTTAGGTCTCAGCTGCTCTCTGCAGCATCCCAGGGAAGAAACTTGGACAGCTGAGTTAGACCTTCTGTCCTAATAGCCCTGGTCCACTCAGTTTCCCTCTAGTACTGCTTTTCCTGCAGCCTGTACATTTGATAAGGAACATTCTAAATTTCATTATGGGAAAGTAAGTTCAATGCCTTTGAGACTTCCTTGGCTCTCATGTGATTTGGGAGAGTGTTGTTTGTTGTATCTGGAGTTTTCCACCTATCGTTTCTACACCTACCCCTACGCCTAACCCTGGTGTGATCTGCAAGCATTCTGCCTGTTTCTCTTACCTCCATTCAGGTGTGTTACAGGCTGGCATGTCTCATTTACGCCTTAGTACATGCTCCATTGAGCAGACAGTGTGGGTTCCGCTGTGGGTCAGGTAGTGCTAAGTCTGCCTGTTGATAAGCTGAGGCACGTGGGGACGGGTCATCTGTGTCCTCTGTTGGATCTGTCAGTTCTGAAATGCGGCTAAAGCTCAAGCAATGCAGCTCTCCTGGGTCTCCATTGAGCCCTGTTTATTTTTGCCTGTGTCTTGATTCTTGTTGCTAAGAATCTTATATCTTATAACTAGATAATGCCTGTCTATATGGGCCAGATATTTTGCTTTGTTCTGAACTTGGCTCTGTCTGAAATGTTATAATAAAGACACTTTTGCCCTTAACATAGCCATGATACCTTTTTCTTCATTCTTTTACTTTTAAATTGTCTCAACTTAAAATCATCTCTTACACAGCCAATAATTTGGTCTTGTTTTTTCATATCACCTAACAGTTGTGCCTTCTATGTTTGGATCTTTTGTGTTACAGTGAGCAGTAATATTGAAATCCATTTTTCCATGTTTTGTGTGTTTTACTTGTACATTGTTTTTTCCTCCTCCCCCCAATTCAGTTGATCATCTTATATAATTCTACTTACATCTAAATACTATGTATTTTATAGTTTAGGGAAAAAAGTCACAATTTTAGTTGCTGTGTTTTCCTGTCATTCCCAGTTCATATGCCCACTGCTGTTCTACAGAAGGGCAGGTGGCTGACAGCAGGAAGCACCCCGTGTCCATAATAGCATTGCTGGCGTTATTCCACTCCCCTGATGGTATTTCTAAGAAAAGTGCAGTTAGCCTATCCTAGCCATAACACCAGCCAAATTACTTTTTTAAAATTATTGTGACTGTGCTGAGTATGTGGAGATGTGTCTTGTGTGTGTGTGCGTGTGTGTGTGTGTGTGTGTGTGTGTGTGTGTGTGTGTGTGTGTGTGTGTGTTTCGAGACAGGGTTTCTCTGTATTGTTTTGGAGCCTGTCCTGGAACTCACTCTGTAGACCAGGCTGGCCTCGATTTCACAGAGATCCGCCTGCCTCTGCTTCCCTAATGCTGGAATCAAAAGGTGTGTGCCACCAATGCCCAACTCTGCCTCCATATTCTTTAAGCATGTGGTGTGACAGCTGTGTCCAGAGTGGGGATTACTGAAAGTGTATGGCGGGAAACATGAGGCTGTGAGACAGTACTGTGCTCCTTATGTGGTCCCTGGAAACATCCCCGTGGATACTGTGGGGTGCCTATAACTGCCTCAAATGGTGTGTGTGTTGGTGGGGGGTGGGTAATATTAACTTGGCCCCTCTCTTTCATGCCATCCCTCCCTTCTCCCTGAAGTCCATTCTGAAGTGGATGCTGTCTATTGTGTCTTGGCCTGTCCATTTTACTTACTCTCTGCCTTGCTGGTTTGAGGCCCTGGTGTTGGCTCGCTGCTTCTGATCAGCCACTAATTGCTCTCAGCTGTTTCCATTACACCTCCAGACTGTAGTTTTCTTGTTAAGAAAGTTCCTGTTTCCCCTTTAGGAAGAGCATTTGTTTCTTGATTAGCTCAGGAATTTGTGCTCTATGTCCTGGTCCAGCAGCGAGTGATTATCTGAATCTCAGTGTTCTTCACAGCCTGCCCAGTCACCTTGTCACTGTCCCTACACCTCCTCTTAATGCTGTGGGTCTGTCACACAATGTCTGAGATCCTTGCTTGTTAGGATCAGTCACTGTGAGCAGTGTGTGAGCTAGCATACAGGAATAGAAGACTGTGTAAGATCCAGACAGACTTGCTGAGACTGGGGAGTATGTCTGGCTTTTGACCTCCCACAGATAATACCATGTCATTTTCTAAATGTGATCTGGAACACGTGTTGATCTGATCCATGCTTTAAAATCATAATTTTGGTAATTACTTAGTTATATGGTTATCAGGCTATGGAGCTGTGTCCTGTAATTTTCCCAGAGTTTGTGAGTTACAAGGTCCAATTGATTGCTTTCATTCCATTTGCTGTGGCTTTGTCCTTTCCCTGTCTTGTGTCCTCTCCTCAGTTTCATAACAGTTTTCAGTGGTAATTGTGTTGATTTTAATTTCTTGAGTGAAAATTATGATCTATTTTCTGAGATAATTATTGTAAACATGCCACTTGCCAGTTATATTCATTTGGCCCAGAACTGGACCAAATTATTGCTTTGGAGCATTTCTATTTAATTTCAGTTACATTTGTCGGTGCACCCACCCCTACCCAACCTCCCAGCTTTCACAGAGCCCCACCTGCTGCCCATGAGGCCCACAGTGGCTGCTGGGAGCCCATTTCCAACGAGAGATCTATTCTGCGAGACAGATGGAAGCTCTCCGAGGAGCTTCAGGCAGGACTGCACTGCAGGTCAGGAGGCACAGAAACAGTCTGTGAAAGGTGGGAGAAACGGCACATCTGCTAATGGAGAAATCTGTAGTCACAAAACCTCAACTGCCATCTTATTCTTCTCTGCCTCCTTGCCTCAACCTTCTGTTCAAAGCTGTCTGCCCACAGTATTTCCACCAGACTGTGGTCAGACATCATAGCTGGACAATGGTGTGGCAGGTACATTGTTCGCAGTTGGGTTTTCCCAACCACAGAGCTGAACCAAGTGTTCTGTGAGTAGAACTCTCCTTAGCTGCTCTGTGTTCTCTCATAAAAGGCTTCCTAGTTTCTTTATTTTTTTTATTATGTCTGATCAAAGAGAAGTATTTACTGGAGATATGCAGTGAGGCTCTCCTCATTTCTGTGAGCTCTGCTAAGAGTTGGACTTTTCCAGGTTTTAAGTAAAGTGCAGAATAGAGCAATGGATTACTTTTAAAGCCTTCTTGTAACTTTTTCTGGGACATGTGAAAATTGTAATTTTGCCAAATTAAGCATAGATGGCGCTGTTGCTTTGTTTCATATACTCCCAAGACACGTTCTTTATTTTCCAGCATTTTCTAAGGATTTTCAGCTATAGAGAAAACCAGATACCTCCCTACTACTTTGGTATTTGTTTAACATTTACTGTGTACTTCATTTTTAGTTGAAATATTTTGTTACCACTTCAACAAAATTAAACTGTAGCAGATACAAAATAGCTCTGTGTTAGAGTGTGTGAGAAAGTTGTTGTGTAGCTGTGGAGAGGATGCTAGAGGGTGATGCTGAAGATGATGGGCCTTGGTACTGTAGAGTTTTACCCAACAGCTAAACTAAGCTAGCTTATAGAACTCAGCTACTTTGTGTACTTTGTAGACTTGACTGTTTGCAAGCTTGAGTTGTTTTTAAATGTTTCCGTATTTTTTGATAAATGAAACCAAGTGGACATGAAAGCTAAGAAAAGCAAGCTTAACTTCGACTGTGACAAGTATGGCCATTTACCTAAACAAGTGCAAACCACATGGAAGGATAGGCAGGAAGGCCACCTGGTCAGCTGCTGTTTGAATCATTAGCGGGAGTGATGCCTTTGTGCTAGGACAGCAGGCCATGCTTTTGCTGCTACCCACGAAGCTCAGTCTGCCACAGCCCTTCCTTGTTTCTCCGTGGTTTCCTATGGAAGCGTGACCCATGGGTCTATATATATGCCTGGCATTTCTCTTGAGTTGTCCTAGTCCTTTGGTGTCCTGGATGCTTGCAAGTTTGTGTAGTGAGCCTGGATGCTTCTTACAAGATCCAGCCACCAGGAGCCAGATATAGTATAGAATGTCCACTTGGAAATTGCAGAGAAGAAATGCCCTCTGTTGCCTTTACAACTTAGATGTAACTAAATATCCATTGACAATAATTACTTTGTTTCTTATGCCTGTAAGAAAAGCTTTAATGACTTTTCTCCTCACACAGCTGTCTCACCAGGTACTTAGCTTCCCAAGTACAAGAATGTCAAGCATTCAAGGATTTAAGCCTGCATGACAGGGCCCAGTTGTAATGCTTCTTCCTCAAAATAAAATAAAATAAAAGTTTGTCTCCTCAAGCATACTGGTTATTTTGAGACCAGCTTCAAAGTGAATGAGCTGTAACAGCAGTTAAACATCCTGGCATCAGCAGAGTGAGATGGTTAAACAAGGACTGTAGGTATTACCAGTGCCAGGAATGAAGCTGACCATTGATAAGTATGGCCTGCCTCCTTATTGCTACTAACGAGGCGTGTCCATAGCATAGTGACCTACCATCTGCTGGTAGCTTTCTCCCTGCTCTTGTGTGCAAAGAACACAATGTCCATTTTCCCACTTCCCAAACTCTGAAGGTACCGGGGCTTCACAGAACCTACTCAGTTCTGGAGCTGTTTCAGCAGTGGATACTACTCGACCCCGGGGATCTTGAGGAAGGTGCTGCTTCAGAGACACCTGCTTTGAGCAGCATTTATCTTTGGGTTTTTTTCTTGTTGTTTTTCTCTTTTAAAGATTTATTTTATGTGCATTTGTGTTTTGCCTGCATTTATGTCTGTGTGAGGATGCCAGATCCCCTGGAACTGGAGTTATAGACAGTTGTGAGCTGCCACATGGGTGCTGGGAATTGAACCCCGGTCCTCTGGAAGAGCAACCAGTGCTTTTAACCACTGAGCCATCTCTCCAGCCCCTATCTTAGGGTTTTGTTTGTTTGTTTTTGTTTTTAATATGGATACTGAAAGAGTCAAAGATAATATTTGCCTAATGGTACTTACTTTGATGTCTTGTTGTAATCCATGTTTGCCTTATTTTTCAGGGTTCAGGATAAGATGGATGTGTTGAATTACACGACCGTTCCTATCTATCTCCCAGAAATCACAGTTGGACCTCACCAGGGTACCCGAATCTACAACAGCTTCAGAGAGGTGAGCCCTAGCCATGGGGGCAGAGTCTGGGGTACTTATGGCCACTAAGCCACCTCTGTGAAGATAGATCTACTGCTCTTGTCAACTTCTGTCATAAAGGAGCGAGTCCTCAGGCATGCAGCGGGTCCAGGACCCTTACTAGGTGCATTATTTTGATGGACACATGCCCTCATCCTTTAGCTGGTATTTCCAATTCTTCGTAGCTGTATCTGATGTCTCCTTACTCCTCACCGTTTATCTCTAAGTCGTTAGGCTTACATTTCTACAGTGTCCTCCAGCCAACTGGTACAATGCAGCAAGAATGGCAGAGAAGACAGTGGGGGCGGCTGCCACTCCGATCACACCTTTCTCTAATCTTCTTCACAAGCCTTTGTCCTTCCCTTGGTGTGAGGAGTCATTTCCAGCCATTCAGCACGGGGTCAGAGGCCTAACAGAACAGCATCGTGGAATGGGAAGAGTAGTCCTCTGTCCATGCTCTGCTGTAGTTTGTTAGTTATTGGAAAGTGTGAATCATTGCATTGAAGTGGCACTGAAGGGAGCATGTGTGAGTCTGCATGCCTGTGAGAGGTCATGTATTCCTATCACGTGCACAGCATCGGCTGCAGAGCCCCGGAAGCATTGATCAAGGGTTCCACTGTGGCCAGATGTTTTATTTTGTTTTGTTTTCCTTTCTTGCAGTACTCAATGCTTTCTTTTAAGCAAAATTTTTGTGCCTATTTGAAAATAATTTTATTCACTATAGAAATTTGGGAGCATAGCCATAATGACCCTCCATCAGGCATCCTCTATTCATGCTGATGCTGCTTTTACTGTGTGTCTCTTCCTGAGTGCACTGTGAAAACCTGTGGCCTCCTCAAGCCCAGGCTGTGGTGGCTCCTTGCTATGCATGATCTGTATCTGGACTGACGTCATCTCACCTTAGTGGACTCAGCTGCTCTCTCGGGCCTCAATGGCCATCGTCCTTGCCCCCCTCTGCCATGTGGAAGCAGCCTCATTCAGGTCCATCTTGCCCTCTGTCTGCTGTAGCAAGAGGGTCTGTAGCATTGCTGGACCTGCCTCCCTGTGTTCTGTCAGCTCTGGCCTCATGATGGTGTGCGTGTGTGTCAGCTAGGTGGTTAGTACTGTCCCTTTTATGCCTTTAATATTATCACCTGTGCCGTTCGTAATAGAGCTAGCCTTCCTTGGTTCTGATGATTGTTACAGCATTTGGGAAATAGACACATAAGGATCAGGAATTCGAGGTAATCCTTAGCTATGTGGTGAATTCAAGGCCAACTTGAAAAAAGTACTAATAATAGAAAAATAACCCTCCCTGGCGATCTGAGATCACCGTGGCGCCCTTTTACAATCATATGTCATCGGACTCATTGATCACCGTTGTTCTCACTCACTGTGTGGTCTGTGCACCTTTTCCCCATGGTGCATGCTCATGCATTAGGAATAGCTCTCCTGGACTGTAGGCCTGCTACATCACACCAGCATGGGCTGTGCACTTGTGTTCTGTTGAGTCTTCCAGTTGACTGTAATGATCATTAAGATTGGGACACTCCACTTGAAGTGGCGTTCTCAAGAACAAGATACCACAAGATCCAGCTGTACCTAGCGTCTAGATAGAGAGGATTTACATGCTGCTGCTAACCATATACCAACTGAGGGACATCAGTGAGCCCAGAGACCCAGGGTAGATGAGAGGTTGCATCTGATTGATGGCTTTGTCTCCTGTCCTTGCATTTGAATTTCCTTGATATTTAAGAACTTGATACTTCAGAACATTTGGAGACTACAGGTTGCTTAGTTGTTGAATATCCTATAGTCTGGTTTGTTGGCTGTTTCCTCATGAGTAGATTCAGGCCATAGTTTTTTTGTGACAGGAATATCAAAGAACTCATTGCAACTTCCTAGGCAGGATGTGACTTGTTACAGCTTACATTTCCTTTGATCGTTTGACTAGCTATGATATAACTCTTTCATTCTTTATGATCAGGATTCATTGGGGGAATTTGGAACTGCAAGACTGTCAGATTTTTGTGTCAGAGTTGTGGCATCCATTGATGTTCTTTCCTACTTAGCTATCACTGTGATAGTTTCCTAATATAGCTCTTTTCTGTCTGTGACTCCTTCTGTCTTCAGTGTTGCTGTGGGGAGATATTCTCCCTGTATACACGATTCACTTGTGTGTTTATCTGTGTGTGTTGAAAATCATGAGTTCTTGCCTTCAGGTCCCCACTGCCTCTACAGGGCTGTGCGGCCACTGTTCAGCCCTCCGCCCATCTGCCCTGTTGCTCTTCTAGGACTAATACTGTGAGCAGCCCTGTCTGCTCATCTGCTGGCCTATTATAGTGACCATGGTTTCCTCCAAACCCCACTAGTGTCTGTCACCCCCACTTTCAGGGAGTCACAAGCCACATTCAGCTTCACAGAAAGCTTTAGGTCAAGCTTGGAAGGAAGGGAGACTCTTAGCTTGAGGAATAATTTGCATGGGGCAGAGAATTCTGAACCACCAGCTTGATTTCTTTCAGCCGGTCCAGACTTTTAGCATCTTAGGGTTCTGGCTCTGTGTTCTGAAGAGCAGCTTACTGTTTCTGTAGAATGGCTCTTGTTTCTCTATGGGGTCTGTTTTTTGTCTGGTTCCTGATGTGGTCTTGAGCTTTGCCAAGGGTGTGTGTGCCTGGGGGCGGGGCCGTGTGCCTTTGTCCTCACTTGCCTGTGACTGTGAAGCCCGTGTCCCTTTAGCTGGTCTCCACAGTCAGCGCCGGTTCTCTGCTCCCCGCCCTGCTCTCACACTGTGCCGGGTGCTAGGGCTTCTGCTGTCTTCTTACGGCTTTTCTCAATATGCTTCGATGTTCGCTGCCATCTTCCAAGCTATTGAAGGGCCGACTTTCCAGCTCTTTCATCTGCTGTTCTTATTAGTGAGCTTTCCGTTTTAATCATTGTCCTTTTGTTGTTTGTAGAGTTTACACTTTCATTTCAACTTTGCAAAATATTTTTGCTATACAATTTTTTGAAACAGTCCCAAGTAAAGTAATGTGATGACTGCAGTGTCTGTCTTGGGATCTGCTAGAGTGCCAGGCCCCTGCTGCTGTGTGTGTGACCCTTTTGTCTCTGAAGCCTGGCGGTGCTTCCTGTGTTTTGTCTCGTGACTTCTCTCCCTACGCCTGGTACTTGTCCTTTTTGTTTGTATTTGATTGAGAATGTAAAGGTAGTTTTGGACTTTGACAGTGCTGCTCACCCACATGGAGATGCACTGCATGGTCGCCTGGTCAGCAGTAAAGTGAAGACCACGCTGATGGCTGGCTGTGTGTGGTCCCATGAGGTCTGTTGTGTTTACAGCTTGTCCGGCCTGAGAGAGCAGGTTTAGCAGGGGCGCTCCCTGCAGGTTTCATCCCTACCGTATGCACAGCTGCTAGAATCTCTGTTCAGTACCTTATTGCTGCTGCTGCTGCTGCTGCTCATGAGAGTTGAGGAGACCCCAGGAGGCTGATGTGCTGACTGTGAGCCACTTTGCTCTTTGTCTTGGCACCTTAAAACACAGCCCCTGCCTTTCTAGATCCCTGTGAGTGGAGGATTTTATGCACCATCTGCCTCTGCTTGTATGGGAGGGCAGAGTAGGTCTAAGTCAGCTAGTTGTCCAAAAGCTAAACATAGGTAGGTGATTGTGTGATGATCTTGACACCATCACTGTCCTTGTGTTTTTATGAATTTCTGTGTTCTGATAATCTGCTGGGTGGTGTCTTGTCAACTTGATACCAGCTTTGGCGAGAGGGAAACTAATTGAAAAAAGTTCCTACCAAATTGGTCTTGGGGCAAGCCTTGTGAGCATTTTCTTAATTGATGGTAATGTAGAAAGGCCCAGTTCACTGTGGGTGGTACTACCCCTGGGCAGGTGGTCTTGGATGGTGTAAGAAGTAGGCTCATTGAGCCACGTGGAGCAAGCCAGGAAGTAGCATCCCTCCATTCCATGTGCCTCAGCCTCGGCCCTAGATTGACCAACTACAAACTGTAAGCTGAAATAAACTTTTTGCTCCCCAAGTTGCTTTTGGTCATGGTGTTTTATCACAACAGCAATAAGACAAATAGTGAATATCAAAAAGAGTCTATGAAATGCAGATTTAATTAAATATTAGATGTTGATGACTTTAAGCAAATGATTGAAGAAATCTATTTCTTTCTGAGTATTTTTAAAAATAAATTTAATTTTTTAAATTTATCTCATATGTATGATGGCTATGATGTCACCAGCTTTCAGGTCATGTGAGGCACGGACACTGGGTGTCAGCTGAAGTGCCATCCAGGTCTCCTCAGCATTTCACCCTGTCCTTCTGTGCCAGGACCCATCCAGACTGCACGGCATAGACTGCAGTGCTGCAGGCTTCTCAGCTTGTTCCTAGTCACAGTCTGAGGGGCCTGCAGTGCAGTCTCGGGTGCACATCGGTGAGGTGGTAAAGGTCAGAGGGAATGAGCGAGCAGCATGGCCCTGTCTTGACCTTAACCTTGAGTGCCCTGTGTCTTCCCAGAAGGTCTGTGTATCCTCAGGCTTCTTTGGTGACTGGGAACTGTGTGACCATTTAGAGGAGTGTTGGCTTTGTCTTTTAAAGAAACTAAGTTGCTTTTATTAGAAAAGGGTTGAAATGAAGCATGGTAATAAGTAATAATGACTTTCTTCTTAGAAACAGAACTTTCTTTACTATTAAAGACAGCAACAATTATCACAAAGTTTCCCTCTGGAAATTTCATTATGGGTGAGTCAGAGATGAATGCATGAAGGCCCCTTTGTTCATTTCCTACCTAGCTATTGACAGCGTGGGAATCTGGCTTTCATGAAGGTATTTTTCTGGCAGCAGAGCTCTTCTTGCGGCCACAGTGCTCAAACCTCACACAACTGACTGCAGTGTCAAGACACTTCAGGAGGAGGAGCGAGGCTGGTGAGAGAGAGCAAACTGGCTGCGTGTAAGGAGCTAATTCGGGAGCTGTGCACCTTGTACTGCGGGAAGGTCAGGGAG